GACCTATTTGCTATTCTTCTTCCTGTCAAGTACTATCTGTGCTTTTTACACAAAATATTTGCTGTCTCGTTTACCATCGTGGTGTTATGTCATGCTTAGGGGCTCATACTTGATTGATACAAAAGTACGCAAAAATGAATAGCAGTGAATGATAAAGAGATTGCAAACTAAATGAACTAAATCTAGCTTCACAGGAGCTAGGAAAACTAGATGATGCAAAGACTGCTGTGAACTGTCTTGTGCTGGGTGTACTAGTCATAAGCCATGAATTTTCTTCCTTTTCCTTTTGTTTTAGAATCAAGTTTTGGGAATTTGGGGGCTAGATATTTACAAGGATTTCTGAACTTTCTCTCATAGAAGGTGACAATATTTGTTGGTTCACATTGAAAAACAGCCTTTCCATTATTACTCTTATGAGGCATGTAAATTGTCATTCCCAAGGCAGATCTAATTATGGTCAGCTCTCTTAAGCTACAGTGAAAGCTAGGTAATAATTGATGAATATGGAAGAATTGTTGTATCTTTCTTTTGTATTGGGAAAAGAGAAGTGAGTTAGGAACTGTTAGACATGGATTCTAGTCTAGACCTGTCCTTGAGAAGTCTACAACCTTAGGAAGTTTGCTTAACTTTTCTGTGCTTGTTCTCCCTATATGTAAAGTAAAGGAGTTGACTTATGAAACTTCTGTGATTTTAAAATGTGTTGTCAATGCTGTACTCCACTAAACACTGTCTTTCTTCCTCTGTAAGGGTGTCCTGCTACTACAGGCGCTAACAAGAAGCAATGGAGCAATCCAGAAAATTGTTGCTTTTGAAAATGCCTTTGAGAGACTGCTGGACATTATTACAGAGGAGGGGAACAGTGATGGAGGTATAGTATGAAGAGATTTGTGAAAAGATTGCTTTTGTACTTATTAGAGAACATGACTGGAGGAGAAGTTGGAACTCACACTTCAGGCTCTGCCTCCTTTCACTGCAGCGTGCTGAGTGTGGACAGCCTTTCATTTGTCCTGTTTGGTATTTTATTAGGCTTCTGCAATCTAGATTGATGTCTTTGATCATTTCTGGAAAATCACAGCTATATCTCTTCAAATACTGCATTGTCACATCTTCCCTGTTTTTCTGAAGGCATGGGTTAATATGGAGGCCCTTTTGCAGATTTGGCCAAGCCAGATGCTGAAAGTGAAGAGGGAGGACACAGCTGAGAGTTAGTGGAGAAAGTTAGAAGTCACCTTTTGGAGACTAGGAGAGGCATTAACTACTGTAATTGGATAGTCAGGGGTAAGGACCTATGAAGGTGTCCATCATGACTTCACAGCAGTATGAGCTGCTCCCCCACCCCCAGTAGAATTCAGCTGCCTAGGGACACATGTGGAAAGGAAGGCGCTCTAAGAAGACAAGGAGGCAGGAGAACTGAACATTATCTGTAGAGCGGAAGAAGTGAAGATCTATACAATCTAAGCTGGATAGGGAAAGGAGGAGCTTCTAAAAAGGGAAAAAGGTGTCTGGTTAAAGGGTTGAAATTCTCAGGAAATTCACGGAACAGATAAGTTGAGAATACCTGAGCCACAGAGATAAGAGGTTGTACTAAGAGGGTGAGGATTGTTACTGAAGGTGAGGCAGGCTCAGCGCCTGTGGCTCAAGTGGCTAAGGCGCCAGCCACATACACCTGAGGTGGTGGGTTCGAATCCAGCCCAGGAGTTGGAGGTTGCTGTGAGCTGTGATGCCATGGCACTCGACCCAGGGGGACAGCTTGAGGCTCTGTCTCAAAAAAAAAAAAAGGTGAGGCAAAGGAACTGGGACTAGGTGTTAAATGGGTTGTTGTTGAAATTAAAGTGAAGACTACAGCAGCACTTAAAGAAGACCTCACAGAAGAGCTGTCTGTGATGTTTTCAGTGAACAAAGAGCAGTGACCATGAATTTGTTACATAACTACAGTGAGAATAGTGAGAGATGGTACAGCTGGATAGCCTCATTCTCAAGGGAGCAGGGGTTTTTGTATGAGAGGATAGAGGAACTTTTTTATGTGAGAGGGTAGAGGAACTATGGTCTCTGGAAAGTAGTCTGCCTAGAGGAGCATAGAGTTCACATCGTGACTGCCCAGTGCACAGGATTGAGAGCATGAACTGCTTTCACAGCAGCATTTATCAACCAACATTTGAGAGTTTGAAATAGGATCATGAAAGGGTTTGAAAGGAGATGAGGTGGGGAGAGGAAACACGAAGCATTGCAAGATGCAGCAATGGGAAAGCTGACTAGAGAGGAGTGGACTTCAGGAGGTGACTGAGGAAAATGGGGTTTTGAGGAGAGGGGAAACTAGCTGATCTCCAGGGTTGCTGAGACAAGTTTCAATGGCTCTTTATAAGTGATAGTGGCCTTTGAGGCTCCAGGGTCCACTAGAGCCTGGGAGGAAGGCCTGCCAGTTATAGGGAGGGCTTTAACATGCTTTTTCCTCCAGACCCTTCCGCTCCTTCTGAGAGCAGACCTTACTTAACGGAGGTTTATGGTCCTGGTCCTGCGTAAGACATGGATGTAGTGGTTCCTCCTCCAGAGCTGAGGGTCTGTGTGGTTCACAGCAGGAGGAGAGGAAGCCTGGAATCAGGACAGATGACTGGTTACCTTCAATATTTCAAGTTAGGGCTTGGCGCCTATAGCTCAGCCGGCTAAGGTGCCAGCCGCGTACACCTAAGGTGGCGGGTTCGAATCCCCAGCCCGGACCCGCCAAACAACAATGACGGCTGCAACCAAAAAATAGCAGGGCGTTGTGGCGGGCGCCTGTGGTCCCAGCTACTTGGGAGGCGGAGGCAGGAGACTCGCTTGAGCCCAGGAGTTGGAGGTTGCTGTGAGCTGTAATGCCATGGCACTCTACCCAGGGGGACAGCTTGAGGCTCTGTCTCAAAAAATATATATATATATATATTTCAAGTTAAAAGTAGCAAATAAAAGTGTACATTGATCTTTTCAGTTAGAGCCAGAACTTGTTCTTGGAAGATGCGTCTGCTGATTAGAGTTTTCTAGCATTTTCCTTATGTACATTGTATAGAATTTGCATTTTGGTTTTTTCAAAATGAAGTGTGGGAGCCTTCTAGGTTTTACAACTACTTTCTTTACCTTATCTTTTAGAATCATATTATCCATCCTTAACAGTTGATTTCAGTTTTGGGAGTTTTTTTTTTTTTTTTTTAAATAGAGTCTCACTCTGTTACCTTCGGTAGAGTGCTGTGGTGTCACAGCTCACAGCAACCTCTAACTCCTGGGCTGAAGTGATTCTTTTGCCTCAGCCTCCCCGAGTAGCTGGAACTATAGGCACCCACCACAATGCCCAGCTAGTTTTTCTATTTTTAATAGAGACAGAGTCTCACTGTTTATCAGGCTGATCTTGAACTCCTAAACTCAGGTGAGCCACCCGCTGCAGCCTCCCAGAGTGCTAGGATTACAGGTGAGAGCCACTGTGCCTGGCCCTTAATAGTTATTTTTAATGACTTGTTCTCATTGAGTTTTGCCAAAGACTTAAATTTAGTTTTCTTAAGAATAACTGTTTTCACACTTATATTTGGTAGTTTGTCATATTTAATTAATAACTAGTGCAAGTAACATGGTTTTTGAATAAAACAATTGACTCTTCGATACAATGATGATGGTGACATAATCATGAAAACATGATTCATGAAATAAATTAGAGGGGCACCTGTGGCTCAGCGGGAGGGGTGCTGGCCCCATATGCCAAGGGTGGTGGGTTTGGACCCAGCCCCAGTCAGCTAAAACAGCAGTGGCAACTACAACAAAAAATAGCCAGGTGCTGTGGCAGGCACCTGTAGTCCCAGCTACTCAGGAGGCTGAGGCAAAGAGTTGGAGGTTGCTGTGAGCTGTGACAGCACAGCACTCTACTGTGGGTGACAGAGTGAGACTCTGTTTTAAAAAAAAAAAAAAATTAAGCATGTATGCCCTGCAGAAGACACTCAAGAGAATGAAAAAACTTAGAGAAAATATTGCAAAACATGTATCTGAAAGACCTCTATCCAAAATATTCCAAGAACTCTTAAAACTCAGCAATTAGAAAACAACTCAATTTTAAAATGGCCAGAAGATCTGAATAGACATCTCACTAAAGAAGATATACAACCAACAAATATAAGCATATGAAAAGATGCTCAAGATTACATGATGTTAGCTGCAAATTAAAACAGTGATATCATTACACACCTGTTAGGATGAGGAAAATCAAAAGAACACTGGCAGCACTAAGGGCTGTTGAGGGTAGACAGCTACAGAAACCTTCTCCCTGCTGATGGGAATGCACATGATGAAACCACTCTGGAAAACAGTCTGACGGTTCCTTACAGAGATAAGGTGTTACCACACAAGGTCTGACAATTGACGTTTGTGAACTTGCCACCATGCTCGTACATTGACAGCACTGTACAGATAACTTAGTCAGGGTTCATAACCTTGATATATCAGTGTCTCACAGCTGTGTTCGTGTCAACCTGGGGTGTCTTGCTGAGTGGCGTTCATTGTCCTTGCATGTTTTTGTGGGCTGTCAGGAGAGTGTCACAGCTTGAATTAAAGCAACAAACATACATTTCATACATTTCTGGTTCTATTTGTCAAAAGTATCACTGATGAATTGTTGCAAAAATTCACTGAATTATCTATCAAAATTGTCAGCTGACTGTGGGAAACACAGCAGACCAAGTAAACATTAATAGAAAGATAGTTCAGAAAATCTTAACTGAATCTTGGTCAAGAACTCATGACTCTGCATCAGGACAATGCACCAGCTCACACAGCAGTAGCTGTGAGGGAGTTTTTAACTTGTATTGGAATATCCTTGGATTTGCCTGACCTGGCACTCAATGACTTTTTCCTTTACCCAAAGATAAAGGAAATAGTAAAGGAAGACATTTTGATGACATTCAGGATATCAAGGGTAATATGATGACAGCTTTGATGATCATTCCAGAAAAAGAATTCCAGAATTGCTTTGAAGGAAGGGTGGACTAGGTGCTGGCATCAGTGCATAGCTTACCAAGGGGAGTACTTCAGAGATAACCATAATCTTAGTCAGCAATGATGTCTGTAGCACTTTTCTAGGACAAGTTCGCAAACTTAATTGTCAGGTCTCATATGATCCAACAATCATACTCCTTGATATTTTCCCAAATTAGTTTCAGAATTATGTCCACACAAAAACATGCACATGAATGTTTATAGCAGCTTTAATTCATAATTGCCTAAACTTGGAAGCAATCAGAATGTCCTTTAGTACTGAGGACCCCAGCCTCAGGGCTATGAGCTAGTACTGGTCAGGGCCTGCTGGGAACCCGGCCATACAACATAAGGTGAGCGGCTGAGCGAAGCTTTATCTCTGTTTGCAGCTGCTCCTCATTGTTTCACATTGCCCCTGAGCTCCGCCTCCTTCAGATCAGTGACAGCATCAGATTCTCACAGGAGCACACGTGAGGGATCTAGGCTGTGGCTCCTTGTGCGAATCTCATGCCTGATGATCTGAGCTGGAGATATAATGTACTTGAATCATCCTGAGCCCACCCCCACCCCCCTGTTCCCTTTGCTGTTGGAAAAATCATGTTCTTTGAAACCGGTCCCTTGTGCCAAAAAGGTTGGGGACTACTGCTTTAGTATTTGAATGAATAAGTAAACCATACCATCCTTACAGTGGAATATCATTTAGCCAAAAAAAAAAGTTGTCAAACCCTGAACAGACATGAGGGAACCTTAAATGCATATTGCTGAGTGAAATGAGCCAGTCTGAAAATGCTACCTAATGTATGATTCCAACTGCAGTCGATGCTGGACAGTGCACAGTTAAGGGAGTTAAGGGGACCACACCCTGGCACAGGAGAAAAGCCACGTGGAACTTTTGACTTTCCAAAACCACAACTACAATAGCTAAGGTTTACTAGGAGCCTTACCAATAACATGGTCAATACATATTTTATATGTTTTCTGTTCTGTATTCTTAAAATAAAGTGAGCTAGAGAAAAGAAAATATTATTTTAAAAAATCACAGGGAAGAAGAAATGTATTTACTATTGATGAAATGGAAACGGGCTATAATAAAGGTCTTTGCCCTGATTGTCTTCACACTGGGCTGAGGAGGAGGAAGGGCTGGCCTTGCTGTTTCAGGAGTGGCAGAGGCCAAAGGAGATCCGAACATAAGTGGACCTGTGCAGTTCAAGCCCATGTCAGCCGAGGGTCAACCCTGTCTGAAACTTGGGAACAGGTAAAACCCTCGAGACAGTAAAAGTATATAGATCACTAGTTTCCAGGGATTTAGGATGTAGAGGACAAAAGGATAAATAAAAGAGAACAGGGGATTTTTAGGGTAGTGAAATTATTCGGTGTGATACTATAATGGTAGATACAGGAGATTATACATTTGTCAAAGCTCTTAGAGTTTCACAGCACAGAAAGCAAACTCTAAGCTTAACCGTGGACTTCCGTAACAGTGCATCAGTACTCATTTGTGAGTTGTAGCAAGTGTCCACACAGCAGGGGAGGAGGAGAGTACAGGCATACCTTACTTACCGCACTTACCGTGTGCTGCATTGTTTTCACAAATTGAAGGTTTGTATCAACGCGGCATTGAGTAGGTCTGCTGGCTCCATTTCTCTAACAGCACGTGCTCACTTCATGTCTCTGTGTCACGTTTTGGTTGTTCTCACAGTATTTCAAACTTTTCATTATCACTGTGTCTGTTTTAGAGATCAGTGAGTGATCTCTGATGCTACTTTGCACCCATTCAAGACAGCAAACTTAAGCATAAATGTTTTTGTTCTGACTGTTCCATTTTCTCCCTCAAGTCTCTGCCTTCCCTTGGGCTCCCTCTTCCCAGAGACACAATACTGCAATTAGGCTAATTAATTAATAACCCTACAACAGCCTCTTAAGTGTTCAAGTAAAAGGAAAAGTCACACATTTCTCCCTGTATACTGCAAACTAGAAATGATTAAATTTGGTGAGGAAGGAGTATCAAAAGCTGAGATAGGTGGAAAGCTAGGCCTTTTGTGCCAAACAGCTAAGTTGTGAATGCGAAGGAGAAGTCTTGACAGAACTTAAAAGTGCTGCTCATTGAACACACAAATGATAAGAAAGCAAGACATAAGGCGATTTTTTTTTTTTTTTGCAGTTTTCAGCCGGGGCTGGGTTTAAATCCGACACCTCCGGCATATGGGGCCAGCGCCCTACTCCCTTGAGCCACAGGCGCCGCCTGTGAATTATTTTTTATTTTGAGACGGAGTCTTAACTGTATTGCCCTGAGTAGAGTACCATGGCATCACAGTTCACGGCAACCTCAAACTCTTGGGTCAAGTGATCCTCATGTCTCAGCCTCTGGAGTAGCTGAGACTGCAGGTGCCCACCATGACACCTGGGTAGTTTTTATATTTTTAGTACAGATGGAGTCTTGCTCTTGCTCAGGCTAGTCTTGGACTCCTGAGCTCAAGCAGTCCACCTACCTTAGCCTCCCAGAGTATGAGGATTATAGGCATGAACCACTGTGCCTGGTCATGGCAAATTATTTTGGATTGGGAAAAAAGAAAGAAGAAAGTGAAATACTCTTATCACTGATAAAAAGTTTTAGTGATCTGGTTAGAAGACAAAACCACAACATTTCCTTATCCAAAATCTAATCCAGAGCAAGACCCCAACTCTTTTCAATTCTGTGGAGGCAGAGAAAGGTGAGGAAGTTGCAGAAGGAAAGTTCGAAGCTAGCAAAGGTTGGTTCACAAGGGTTAAGGAAACGCCGTCGGAGCAGGCCATCTGCCTTCCCATGCAGAAGAGATGCTGAGCGTGGAGATTTGTCTTCTTTTAAATGTTTGAGAATTCAATTTTCTGTCAGGTTTTATCAGCCTTAACACTTGGATTTTACATTCTTTCCCCAGGGATAGTAGTAGAAGATTGTTTGATTTTGCTTCAAAACTTGTTAAAAAACAACAATTCCAATCAAAATTTTTTTAAAGAAGGCTCATATATTCAGCGTATGAAACCTTGGTTTGAAGTTGGAGATGACAATTCTGGCTGGTCTGCACAGAAAGTGACCAATCTACATCTGATGCTACAGGTATACTGTCCTTAGACGTGAATGTGAGAAGAATTTTGACATTGATCTTTTTGAAGAAAAGAATATTGCTTGTATTTGATAAATCCAGGACATTCCGTTGGTTTCCGGTGGGCTTAAAAACACTCTTTAAACATGGAGATTTGAGTTATTCTTAGAGAGATCCCACCCACCTACTCAGTGTTGACAGTTATTAACATCTTGCAGTTTGGTTTTATCTCTTATTCTCTCTTACTTTGCTGTATTATTTTAAAGCAAAAGCAGAGATGTAGTTTTCTGATGGATTTTGCTTTAGGGAATAATAGGTTATATTGTGGTTGTAAATTTTTAAAATCTCCCTTTTTCACCTAGGTGAAATATTTTTTGAGCATTCATAAATGGTGAATAATGAGCATTCATTCAGTAAACATTTACTGAGAGCTAGGCCTTGGGTACTAGGAAAGGAATGATAATGTCCCTGCTCCCCCAAATTAATGGTCCTGAGTTTTAAGTACAGTACAAATTAAGTTGACAGATTACCTGTGATTGATTTATTCCTTCCTTCCTTTCTTTCTTTCTTTCTTTCTTTCTCTCTCTCTCTCCCGCCTCTCTCTTTCTCTCTCTTCCTCCTTTCCTCCCTCCCTTCCTCACTCTGTTGCCTTGGCTAGAGTGCAGTGGCATCGTTATAGCTCACTACAGCCTCAAACTCTTGGCTCAAATGATCCTTCTGCCTCAGCCTCCTGAGTAGCTGGTACTATAGTTACACCCCACCATACCCACTTAATTTCCTATTTTCTGTGGAGATGGGGGTCTTGCTATGTTGCACAGGCTGGTCTTGAGCTCCTGGCCTCAAGTGATCCTCCCCCGTTGACCTCCCAAAGTGGTAGGATTACAGGCGTGAGCAACCATGCCTGGTCTTACCTGTGATTTTATTAAAGCTTTATGGTAAAAGCTTAGTGGTGATAATAAAAGCGAGGACAGTAGGATCCCAAATGATTTCCTCATCAGAAAAAATTTTAAAGTTCTTTGAATTATTTCACTCATTTGTTCCTTTATTGAATTCCCCTTCTCCAAACCCTTAAGTTAATACCAGCCTCCCCACTTAATAATTCTCTAGTAATTCTTTTGGGTCTTTGAATGTCTCTGGATTGCACCTGTGTCTCTGCTGTTGTACACCTTAAAGCTAAATGGCTAATCTCTAGTAAATTAAGAGTCTGAATGTCGTTCCTTGCCCTGAAAGTTGCCTACATAGGAGTGATTGATAATTATTGTGGCATCATGGTCTGGTTTGCTGGTATATTATTCATTTTGCAATTACTAATCATATCTTCTTTCACGAGAAAAGCAGCCCACTTTGGATTAGAAATTATGTAGTTACTATATTTAGAACATGATTAAAACTGTTACAGAAGTATTTTATAGAATATGGTCATAGAGTCCTCAATAATACAATATTATAGTTATATACTGAGTTGGTTCTTTAAGTATTCTTTGCTTTAAAAAAGTTGGCTCGATTCCTGTGGCTCAAGTGGCTAAGGTGCTAGCCACATATACCTAAGGTGGCGGGTTCGAATCCAGCCCAGGCCTGCCAAACAACAATGATGGTTGCAACCAAAAAATAGCCGGGCGTTGTGGCGAGCACCTGTGGTCCCAGCTACTTGGGAGACTGAGGCAGGAGACTTGCTTGAGCCCAGGAGTTGGAGGTTGCTGTGAGCTATGATGCTATGGCACTCTACCCAGGGGGACAGCTTCACGCTCTGTCTCCAAAAAAAAAAAAAAAAAAGTGTATAAAGAACTAGTGTTTCCTAACTTAATAAAGCTTTTCTCTCTTTATCAGTCTTGAAGACCCTGAATTCCAAGCAAAGGAATTGTGTTTAATTCATTTTAATATATTTTCTACCCTTGAGTAGTTGATTCATTTATGACTTTACAGGTCACAGGTTATATTCCACTATTCCACCTCTTAAGAGTATTCATTCTTTATAGTTTTATTTAGGGTTGCTTGTATTTCAAGTTGACTATTATACACCAAATGAAAATACGTTATTGTTTTCCTGTTTGGATATTGTTTTCCTGTCCTAATTGGAATTATTCATCACGACAGTTACTGTCACGGTTAAATTTAGGGGAAACATCCTTTGAAAAAGTTTTTAGGCATAAAATAATTTTAAATTTTTCATGGAACTACATATTTTTTATGACAAACTCTCCTTCCTGTCCCTACAGGAACCCCTTCTATGCCATGGTTGGACAGTATTGCTGGTGACTCTCAGAAAGCTCATTACCTTAGGAGATAATCTTTTTCCTTGTAGGAGAGTGTTGATTATTAGGATTAATCTATATATTAAATCAAAATTATCTTTATGTAACATCTACAAATTTCTCCTAGTTTTGCTCTTTGGAGCAAAAGAAGTCCATCCCTTGTGTTACTACGTTCCGTATTTGCATGTTGTTATTGGATCTGTCTTCCTTTATCTTATCCTCATAAGCCTTCCCTCTTCACCGTGCTCCCTACTGCTCTGTCATCTAGCAATTTCATAGTTCTTTTTTCTTTACTGATCATCAGTAAAGATATTCAAGTCCTGTTCGATGGTAGAAAAAAAATTCCCCTTTTTTTTTTTAAATAATGGCATAATGATTATGTTTTCAAAAATCCACATCAGGCTGGGCATGGTGAGCCATGCCTGTAACTGCAACACTTTGGGAGGCTGAGGCTGGAAGGATTGCTTGAGGCCAGGATTTTAAGAGCCTGGGCAACATAGGGAGAGCACATTTCTACCAAGGCAGAAATCCTTACTAGTTGGAGACAGAATTACTTAGGAGAGAAATGATACATGTGTATTGCTTGATACTTCCTTTAAATATTCAGAAAAGGGAAAAGAGAAGAGAAGAAGGTAGAAAAGGAAAAAGAGAAGAAAGAAAGAAAAATAGTGGAAGTAGCAGGGAAATAAATGAAGGGGGTTAAAAAAAAATCATGAGAAGTCTGACTAGAAAAGTCCCAGGATTGCAGCGATGTAACTTGGAAGCCTCTCTTCAGTGATGTCAGTTATCAGTCAGCATCTTTGAGAATGTCTGCTAAGCCAGACATCGGTTTTATCATTACTTACTGACTTAACTGCTGATTGAGGTTTTTCTCAAATTTTACTGATTTCTGGTCACCTCTTTATTCACCAACAATAAAAATAACACTTTTCAAACTATTTTTTTAATATTTATCTGCTCCCGTATAAAATTTCCCCATTCTTAGTGAGGTCACAATCTATGATGCATGGTATGTGCCCACTGTAGTGATAAAATCGTTTTCGTCTCTGATAACATCAGTCGCTTCTGTGTGTCTATCATAAAATGTGGGTAACATTTGTACAGAGCTTTGTCATTAACAAAGTATTATAAATACTACATTTGATCTTAATACATGTGTGTAAGATTTTGTACATACATATACATGTAACTAGTTTTAAGATACAAACTACATGTAAAATGGGCCATACTAGTAAGTATGCTAAATAGTTGTGTAGGATGACTTTTTCATGGTTTAAAATCTCAGGTTCAGAGGAACCATAGAGTGGTAGAGATTTAATTGGCACCAGCAGTCAACAAGATCAACCTTTTGCCTAACACATGAATCTTCCACCATATCTCTGTTGTTTCAGCCTCTTTAAATATTTCCAGTTTAGAGGGAATTTATTACACACTACGCTGTTCCTTTTTCAGACCTGCTGTTATTATGTGGTTCATCCTTTGATAAGAAATCTGCCAGCCTCTAACTTGCTCATTTATAAATACTGTGCTTGTTGGGGATACAAAATGACCAAGGCAGTTTCCACTCTCTGGGAATGTCACCGAAAGGAGACAACCTTAAGGAAATAGCGTAATGTAGTATGTCCTGTAACAGAACTGTTGCCAGGTAAACACAGAGGAAAAAAGAAACTCCTAGATCTAGCTCAGCAGGAGATGAGGTTCTTTTCTCTTTTTTTGAGACAGAGTCTCACTATGTCACCCTCAGTAGAGTGCTGTGACGTCACAGCTCACAGCACCCTCCAACTCTTGGGCTTAAGCAATTCTCTTGCCTCAGTCTCCCAAGTAGCTGGGACTGCAGACACCTGCCACAACACCCGGCTATTTTTTGTTGTTGCAGTTGTTTAGCTGCCCTAGGTGGATTCGAACCCACCACCTTTGGTGTATGTGGTGGCACCATTACCACTATGCTACGGGCGCCGAGCCAGGAAAGGGGGTTCTTCACATAGACTTTCTTTTTTTTTTTTTTTTTTTTGAGACGGAGCCTCAAGCTATCCCCCTGGGTAGAGTGCCATGGCATCACAGCTCACAGCAACCTCCAACTCCTGGGCTCAAGCGAGTCTCCTGCCTCAGCCTCCCAAGTAGCTGGGACTACAGGCACCCGCCACAACGCCTGGCCATTTTGGGGTTGCAGCCATCATTGTTCTTTGGCAGCCCGGGCTGGGGATTTGAACCCGCCACCTTAGGTGTATGTGGCTGGCGCCTTAGCCTCTTGAGCCACAGGCGCCGAGCCCACATAGACTTTCTAATTCACATAGGTCAGATTTTCCTATAGCCTTTTCTTATCTTTAAAAGACAGACTTTGTTTTTTCTTTCTTTTATAGCTTGTTCGTGTATTGGTATCTCCCAACAACCCTCCTGGTGCTACCAGCAGCTGCCAGAAAGCCATGTTTCAGTGTGGGCTGCTGCAGCAGCTGTGCACCATCCTGATGGCTACTGGGGTGCCTGCGGATATCCTGACTGAGGTGAGCCGAGTCATGTCTGCTCTGTGGAGGTCGAAATCAGAAGTCCTAGGAGGCGTTAGATATTGGCTGAAGAAAAAACAGTAATTTGATGGCTAACATTTTTTTAATATTAAATTCTTTACTGATCTTATTAAAATACAATAAGCATATTGTTCATGGTATCGATTCCCAAAGATATTCTCATTCTTCAAATGTTATGGTATATAAAGTTTTGTTTTGTGTTGTGTTGGTTTTTTGAGACAGAGTCTCACTTTGTTGCCCTCAGTAGAGTGCTGTGGCATTACATAGCTCACAGCAACCTCAAACTCTTAGGTTCAAGGGATTCTCTTGCCTCAGCTTCTTAAGTAGCTGGGATTACAGGCGTCCACCACAATGTCCAGCTATTTTTTTTACAGGACAGGGTCTTGGCTGGTCTCCAGCTCCCGAGCTCAAGCAGTCCACCCACCTCAGCCTCCCAAAGTGCTAGGATTACAGGTGTGAGTCACCCCACCTGGCTCTAAATAATGTTAAAGCTTAACAGATCCATCGAGAAGATTTGTCATTTTTATTGTATTCATCTGGAATGTACAGTATGATTTATGTTTTGATTTTTGAGAACATAGTGACTTAGTCTAACTGAACAAGTAGGTTCATTGAATAGTAAATTCTTTTTCCTTGATGGATGGCATTTTCTGTTTCTTGCCTATAAGAAAAAGAACTTAGTTGGAAGAAAAGAAATTTAGTTTATTTAATTGTTTTTATTTTTCTCAAATTAACACATGTTCATTAAAAGTAAAAAAAAAATACTACTTCCTCATGTCACCCCATAATTAATTACTTTGT